CCAGGCGCCCTCTCTGTCAAATATATAAATAAAATCTTTTAAAAAAAAATTGATTTTCTAAATCACTGAATGTTAGAGACCCTCTGCCTGTCTTCCATATCTGCTGTTTTCTCTCCAATCCATTGTAACTCTTTGTTTCCCTTTCATTTCACTCACTTTGTATCATTCCTGCTCTTACTGTCTTGTTCCAGTCTCCTTCTGCCATTTCCCATTCCCCTCCATTTCTTTGAGGTCTTCCTTCCTTTTCTTTCCTGTGCTCTGTCAGTTCAGTTTTCCTCCTCTGTGTTTTGCTACTTCAGATTCTTGTTTTATACAGGAAACTGCTTCATGAGTTTTGTTTTATTAAATTATGGCAAAAAATCCTTGGTGACAATTTCTGGTTGCTTCCAAGGAATGTTGGCTTTTCTGTGTTTCTTCCTTTTCTCTTGTGTTATCTTTGCAGAGATGAGTGATTCTTAACCAAGACTACCATGGCCCCATTAGGAAGTGAATTAGGAGAAGAGGGTGTGCTGGTAAGGGACAGCAAAGACAACTTCAGGGCAACAAGAGCTCATGGTGCACAGGGCTAGGCCAAACACAGGATCAGTAGAAGGAAGTGGCTACTGTGTATTGTCACAATGATGGCAAAGTGCCTTTGTCATTTAGTGCGTGGGGACAGACACGCCAGATTGCAATGCATGAGACAGTGCCATGTAACCATGAATAGCTGTGACCACAAAGACAGCTCTGATTCCTTACTTGCTGCAGGAGGTGCGTGTTGGCGAGGGGCCATCACCCAGCACTGCCTATGGGAGTGCTCTGCCTCCAGAAGGAGGTTGGCTCCCAGTGTCTCCATGCAGATAGAACACACCTGTGCAACTCCTTGTTTTGTTTTCCCTGCCCTTCTCCCAGAACCAAGCTAGAGACTAAGGTTTTGGCCATGGCCAGTGTGGCAGGCTCTGCAGGTGCACCTGCGGCTTGCACCTTCGGTGTTGTCCCCCACTGGTCCTGCCTGCACCCACTGGCTCCCCCGCTTGGTGGCCCTTCAACCCTCTCGTTGAAGATGGACTTAGCATCTCTCATCCTCCTCCTGCTGTGGGTGGGTGTGAGGTTTCCTCAGAAGGGGAAACATGCAGACTTTATGCTGCTATCAAGCTGGAGATGCGTCTTGCGTGGACGCTAGAGTGCAGTGTATTTCCGTGGTGAGGGGCCCCAAGACCCAGCCCACTGAGGTCTTTCCTGAGGGCCTGATAGGCAGAGAAACAGAGCAGCCCCTGAGTTGCTCCCACACCTTGTATAGGGGAGCAGCTCTGCGGGACCTCAGGGGCTCTCTGAGAGAAGGGCCTGAAGTCTTCTGTCATAACCCAAGGGCTTGGCCAAGGGTAGCAGTCAGGCTGCTCCCCTCAGCAGCTCTGTGCCTGGCTCCTGGGAGGTAGGGGGTAAAGTTTGCAGGAGCATACAACCATCTTGGCGGCCTAGATGGGGCTGTCCAGGGGTGGGAGCCCCTGGGATGGGTCTAAGAAGCCACTTCATGGTTCTCTTGATCTTATAGGTGTGCAGAACTCATGAACTCACCAATCCTGGGATCGCTGATGTCAAGATCCGGCCAGACCGCAAGATCCTGGTCACTGCGGGCTGGGACCATCGTGTCCGTGTGTTTCACTGGTGGACGATGAAGCCACTGGCCGTGCTGTCCTTCCACAGTGCCACCGTCCACTGCGTTGCCTTTGCCACTGATGGCTTGCTGGCCGCAGGGTCCAGGGATCAGCGCATTAGCATCTGGTCGCTCTACCCGATCCGCAGCGACGCGTCCACTCCCTCGTTGGGACATGCAGAGGGCAGGGAGGTGGGCACCCAGACTTTGGCCTGACCCAGGCATGTGGAAACCGTGCATCGGGACCCCTGAGGACAGCCAGTCGCGGTTCTCCTCCTCCAGTTACAAGAGGGGCTTGGTCCATGGAGTCATTTTCTGCACAAGGCTTGTGTTTCCTTTTGTGAAATAACAGCATCTGTATGACAGTGACTCTGCAGTTCACAAAGAGTAACTGGGCCAGACACCTGGGCAGCTGTGGCCCAAGTGAGAGGCCAACTGGGGCTGCTTTACAATCAACCTCTATTGCAAACCCGCAGGCTCAAGGTATACATTCTCCGAGGTGACACCCTGGGTTACTCCTTAGGGTCAGCTCCGAGAGCTCTCCTCAGACCTTCCACTGGGCAGGGCAGTTGACCCCTGTCCAGTGGGAGACACCAAATGTGGCCCCCAGGTCCTGCTGACTCTGTGTGGCTCCTCACCCCAAGGATGACCAGGAGCTCCTGATGCTCAGGGCGGAAGCCAGAACCTGTATAAAGAAGTGAGCAGACCCCTCAAGGGAGCAAGGCAGGAGGAGGGTGGGCTGTGGATGATGGCAAAGGCAGAGAGAGCTCATGGTTCAGGTCCAGGCCAAGCTCCCTGAATCCATGGGAGGAAGTGCCCCAAAGAGAGGAAGACCAAAGATGGCAAGGTGCCATCTTCGGGGTGGAAAGCACAGCAGAATTAAGTGTGGCCAACACAGTCACCAACAACACAGAGCCAACAGTGTGCACACAGGGCAACTGGGAATGAGCAGCCGAAGCAGCGAGTATGTCCAGAGTCTCCTTCCATGCATGTCTGGGCCCAGCTGTCAGGGCATCTTTTAAAGCTGGGCTATTGATTGGGAAGGAATGGGACCCTGGAAATTGGGGTGGGGGCTGTGGGCAGTCATTGAGGAAGCTGGGGGCCTCAAACCCCTTTGTTGCACTGCCTTTTTTGCCAGAAAAGCGCCCTTCGGTCTCTGCCTGAAGAGGTCAGTCCTCCTTTACCTGAAGGACCCGGAATGGCTCCCCCTGGGGCGGGGTCCTTGTGGGACACTCAGGACCACCTCCCCCCACCCCAGCTTCGTTTATAACTAGACTCAGGCCCCAGGAGGCCCCAAAGGGTGAGGTACAAAGTGTGGCCCGTGATGAGGTGGCTACGCTCCAGAAGAACTTCGTGCAGATAGAAATCTGGAGAACACGTGTGGGATCCAGGTGACAGGAATATGAAATGCATCAGGCCAGATCCATGGAAACAGGGCCACTAACAGAGGGTCTGGACTTGTTGCAGCCCGAGGAGTTAGAAAGGGCCCCCGGGTGCAGTTGCTTGGTTGAAACATGGACCACAAGGCAGGTTCGCTGAGTACGGTTGAAATGCCAGAACCACCTCAGTGTACTGCAGAGGGGGTGACCCGAGGGTTCGGGGAGATTGGGGTACTCGAGGGGACCTAGCACATGAGAGCTGCTCACCCTCCATAAGAGGGGCGGAGCCTTTTCCCAAGACTTTGAGGAGTACGTCCGCAAGGGGAGCCCAGCATCCTTGGAGAGCTCTGTGGTTTCTCTTCTCTGCAGGTCAGCTGGAGCCACTGCCACAGAGCAAGGTTCTCTAAAGGCAGCGGAGTCACTGAATCTCAGAGTGGCAAGGCCTAGTAGTGGCACTTAACTGTCCAAGACGGAATAGGCATGCTTGTGTGGTGGGCAGCCTCAGCCACAAGCAGCCAGACTGGCAGAGATGTGGGCATGGGCTGGTGTCCTTGGGGCCCTGGAAGTGGAGCTGACAGGCAGCTGGATCGAGTCTAGCTTGGTCTGCTTGAGCGGAAGTGTTCTGGATTGAGCAGACAGATGTCTGACCCGGGCCACCGAAATAGGTTTACAAACCCCCAGTCACCACCCCAGGCCCCTTAAGGAAAGACCCCACTACACTGCCAACAATGTATACTGCTGGTCTTCTGCCCAGCCTCCCCAGGGACCTACGGCCACTCCCTAGGGGACTGTATACCGTTGGAGCTCATGGAAGGCCCATCCTGGGGACTGGCCTACCCACATAGGCCCTGTTGGACAGAGGTGCTGGCGAGTGTCCCCCAGCACCTCTGGGAGGGACCACGCTGGCCCCTGAGTATCCTGTAGCCACGTCACCGGATGGTGGGGGACACATCCAGAAAGATTTCCACATGATGAATGTCAGGAGAGGCTCTGTTTAGGCTGCAGGCACTCGAACCTCATAGAGGAAAACTGCCAAGTAAGCCACACTCGGGGTGCTCCTCACAGGGAGGCTGTCAGGTCAGAGACAATGGAGAGTGGCCTCGCCAAGCCACAGCCCTGCATGGCTCCCACGAGAGGCCACACGCTGAGGGTGTTCTCCTAGAACACGGCTGTATAGGCCTTCGGTAGAACCACCGTATTTACGAAAACAGCCATGGAGGTGTGTGTTCCAGACAAAGGGACAGGGCGCTGCAAGTCAGCATGAGGTTTATTAAACTCAGAGATGCTTCCAGAATGTCTGAGGTGAGCTGCGTGTGTTGGCTGCCAGTGCCTTGCCCCTGGAGATGGTAGAGAGAGGTGTTGGCAGGCGCAGACCCAGAGTCCACACGTGGGCCTCACTCTCCTGTAAAGGCACGAGCAGAGGTGCATGAGGATCACAGGCAACTGACCCCCTACAGAGGTCACATGCTGGTGAGCAGTGTCCCAGGGACATCTGGTGGCCGAATCTTGGTGTACGAGGGCCAAATTGGTCTGTCAGAGCTAGTCCTGTGTGCCTGATGGGGCCATGTGGATAAGGCAAGCAGTTTCCAAGTTCACCCAGGCCTTACGGATGTTGTGTGGAAAGCCTGGTGGCCAGGACTTTTGTCCACTCAGCTGAGCCACCTGGAACCCCAGTGGACCAACTATACTGGAAACACTAGTGTCTGAACCAGAGTGAGGCCTCTGTGCCCACTGTGGGGCCCACAGTTTGTCTCTGACCTGACGGCTTCTGCATCCACAGGATCTGGGGCATTAGCAAATCACCACAGACCCGACCAGTCTCAAACTCCCCGGGGCGTAAGACGAAACGGGCCCCACCCCAACCCCCAGCCTGCGGAAGATACTTAATGTTTGCAAAGCCTCAGATGGTCCTTGTCATATTCCTAGGGCTGAGTCGTTCCTCAGACCTGACCCAGTGTTGGGGGGCTGGCTGTGCCAGGGACCCAGGTGTACAGGGGCACTGCCATCTTCCAACGGCTGTGCGATCCCCTTGCTGGAAGGGCTCAAGCCAATCTCCCTGAGCATCCTCCAGTGGGCTGCAGAGTGGCCACAGTGCATCCCTACGGCTCTCCCACAGGACAAGCGTGTGCCTCTACAAGGAGGAGCCTCTGTGTGGATCCAAGGTTGCCCTTCACCAGAAGGACGCATGCGCTCTCATCATCAGTCCCTTTGATGTGAACTTAGGGCCCTGAATGTTCTGGGAATGGCTTTTTTTCCTTTGCATGGGTGCTCATAGTGGCTTTATTCATAATAGTGCCAAACTAGAAACAACCCAAATGTGTTGACAGATGAATGGACAGAGAAGCAAACTGTGTGGTGCATCCATACGGTGTAGTCCCACCAGCCAGGAAGAGGAGCCTGGATGGACCCTGAGGAACTGGGGTGGGGAGACAGCGTCCAAGCATCTCAGGCCGCACGCCCGTGTGCCTTCATGTCAGATGATTTCAGCAAGACTCTCCCGGGCTCAGCCCCCCTCCGCACACCCAGCCACATCTGGCCGTGGCAGCCGGGTGGCTTGGCAAAATCAGCCCTGTGATTTTCTGCCCGGTTCCTAAGTGCCTTTCCCAGCTACTTACGCTGTTCGCTGAGCAACGTTTTTCAGGACTTACACCCAAGCGCCGTTACGTTCAGGAGCCACTTGAATTTAGCACAGTCCACAGCAGCCAAACCGTGGTGATTCTGACATCGGTATCATCCAGGACGACGAGGAAGGCTGTGGCTCAGGTGCCCAGGGGGCGGGAGACCCGAGGTTCCCCAGGCGAGCGAGGGGGGACCCACTGGCCAAGTGTCGCTCATCAGGTGTCCTCAGGCGTCCTCCCCCTCAGCAAGCCGCTTTCCGGTCCAACCCATCCACCGAGAGAGGCTCACCAGTCTCTCGAAGAAGTCTTCATTAATACTCTCCTCGGACAGGCTGCTCACAACCAGAGAAAACTCTCCTGGAGTAGCGATGGAATCAGCGTGCAGTTCTGGCTCTGGTCAATGTGTTCTGCTGTTCTGTCCCTGTTGGAAGAGCTTCCATGGGTTAGGAGTGCGGGCGTGGTGCGGCCGGGGCCTCTGGTTGGAGCCTCACAGGCTGTAGTTAGGGGTCAAAGGGGTGGGCACCTCTTCCAGCCCTCCTGGTTGTTAGCAGAATCCAGAGCCTCAGCTCCTGGAGGCTGCCCAGCCTCTTCACGGCCAGCAGGAGTGGCCTTGGGGTATTCTGTGTGGTGACTTCGTCGCCCCGGGTGGGATCTGGATGTTCTACTGGGGAGACAAAAGCATCCCCGGTCACCACCTCCAGGGTGAAGGGTGCCTCTCATCAGCAGGACAGACAGGGCTGCGGCGGGGCCCACCTCCAGGCCACCTCCCCTGAAGGGCAAGCGGCTGTGCCATCCTGACCAGCCAGCCCAGGCAAGTGAGTGGCCCAGCGTGTGCCTGCCTCAGGAGCCTTCTGCTGATCCTCTTCCAGACCCATGGTATCCCTCAAGGCCGGTCGCACAGTCATCCCCACCCGGCACGTGGGCAGGTGGACAGCGCTTACCCAGCACCCACTGCGGGCCGGGGTCCCTCTCGGACAAGCGGGAGGCTCATGGCAGACCAGGCGGTGACCAGGCCGATGCGGCCCCCGGACGTTGAGAATTCACCACCTTTGCCTGTGCTCTCTGACTTTCAGCGGTGGGACGACGTCGGACAGCCATGGGCTTGGGAAATACGCAAAGCAGCCTCCGCGTGTGGCAGGGGGCGAGCCCGGGGAGCTGGACGAGGCACTCAGACGCTGAGGATTAGCTGAGGAAGGGGGACCTCGCCGTGCTCGCCCGGCCGGCTGGCTTTGTGCTGACGTGCAGTGCGTGTCTTCACACTCCTGAGTGAGTGATGTTCAGTCAGGTGTTACCCACCTGCGTCTGTGCCAAGAAGCCACAGAACACCCTCTGCACAAAAGGACTGTTTGCACAAAGAAAAAACATTCCTTCA